TGGCAATAGAGGTCAAATAGTGTATGTGGTGTTAATTTTGTATTATGGTCATATTGGGTAAAATTGGCATTAAGTGATCAAATTATGTGTTTGGTATGTTTTTGTGTGTTTAAATGCTTAATCAAGTGTATTTTGGTCCATTGGACTTGGTTCAAGCCTCAAAATGGGTTAATGTTATAAGTTTTGAGTTTTAGGTACTTGGATGCTTGAAAATTGCGTTTAAAACTAACTTTTACATCTGAGTGTCTAAAATTCTCATATGGTGTTAGATCAAACAAAACTTGTACCATTAAATAGCTTATTGAACAAGCTTCGCATAGGCGCTTGAATCACTCCAATCGAACATTAAATGCGAAAATGGTGTAAGTTCAAAGTTCATCCTGAAAAGTTATCATGATAGCATTTTGCTATCATGGACACGTGCGCCATGGCGCATTACATGCAAGCTGTGACACATGGTACAATAGCCAAATTTCCCTTTCTGTGCCATATACCATGGCGCATGGACCACGAGCCACGGCGCATGTGCCAAAATATTCAAAAATGACATTTTTGGCCCTATTTTCAAGTGTTTTGCTTCTCAAAACTTTTCCATGCTTCCTATACCTTTATAAATAATTAAGTTTAAGTTCAAACTACTAATTTGAAGGATTGTTATGGGATCCCAAATATTCCAAAATTTTTTTAAAAGATTATTTGTTTTAACCCTTATATATATAATGTGAGGTTAGGAGCAATCCTTGCTCCTAATTATAATTATTTGTTGTGATTGTGTGGTGTATTTTGGTAATGTCAAGGTAGACATTACATTTTGGTATCAATTTCTAGAGTTTTGAGATTTGGTTGTGGTGATGTGTCCATTGCATTCTTTTTCATTAGTTGGCAACTTTATGTATACAACTCTTTTCCTTTGTCTCATTTCCTTTATTTTCCTACTAATTCCCCTTCTCTACTTGGTTTCTTCCTTAGGAGGGGAGAAAAATGGTTAGAAGAAGCACCTGAAATGCAGACAATTTTCCCAACAATATACCAAAGAATTATAGGCTTATATTAGAGGTACAACTATAGATACAAGTAGAACAGCAACGAAGGCCCCAGGGTAATGATACAATTCTAGAAGAATTGCGGGATATGATGAGGAATATTCATAGAACTATTTAAGATCATAATACTTTGCTCCATAATAGAGGTCGTGAGGAGGAACAAAAGAGACCAAGGGAAGCTCATGAGAGCAGATTGGAACCATCTCCTGTTTCGGTAGTAGACCTAAATTGTCTAGGACTAGAGTAAATAGAGATGCTTAGGGGATGGCTATTGATCGAGATAGAGGACTTTCTCCCGGTTTAACCCTCAAACCTTTAATGAAACTATGAGGGAAGGAGAAGAGAAGAAATAGATAAAGAGAGTTGAAACCATCTTTGAGGTGGTATCTTGCTCTACTGAGTAAAAGGTGATTCTAGCCATAATGTATCTAGTTGAGGATGCTAAACACTAATGGAATTCTGCAAAACTAGTGGATGGACATCAGCTAACTTGGGAACAATTCAAAGAAATGTTCTTTGATCATCATTTTCCTCCAGCATTCAGAGATGAGGAGGTTGAGTTCTATGCATTTCGGTAGGGAGATCTTGATGAGGAAGCATTTATTCAGAAGTTTAATCAGCTATTAAAATTTTCTGCTTATCTGAATGAGATGGATGATAGCGAGTAGAAGGCAAAAAGGCTTCTAAAAAAGATGAGGCCTGAATATAGACAGTAGATTGCTCTGCTAGGAGTAACCACGTATAGTGACATATGCAATCGGCTCTGAATTGTAGCAAGAAAGGGTCGGGAAGTAGAAGCAAAAAAGAGTCGAGATAGGTATAGGAGGTTCTCGTCCTCCCTAGGCCTTTCTGGAGGAGTCTCTAAGAAGACTAGTTATGGTCCGAGTAGTTCTGGAGAATCGGCCAAGAAGAGTTTCATTATAGGATTACAGACTCGAGGAACATTTCAGAGGGGTGGATTTAGAAGTTTTTGTGTTCCACAACCATCCCGATAGGCTTCCAATATGCTTGCCCTGACCTTGAGTACAGCTCAATCACCACCATGTGCTAAGTATGGGCGGTCATATCCTGAGAGGTATTGGGTATGTTTTAAATGTGGGAAACCTAACTATCTGGCAAGACAGTGCCTCAAAGGAAGAGTAGAGATAGCAGAGCAGAGATCTACTATTCCAGGATAAGTCCACACACTATCCTAGGAGGAGGTAAGAGCGTCGCCGAATTTGATAAAAGGTATTATTTCTATCTACGAGCAAAAAATTAAAGCATTATTTGATTCCAGTGCTAGACATTTGTTTATTTCACATGAATGTGTAAAGAGGTTGGGACTTTCTTTGTATGAATTGTCATATGTGATTAAAGTATCTACTCCATCTGGGTCATCTGATATGACTAGTAAAGCATGTTTGAATGTAGAAGTGAGGTTTGAAAATCATTCGACCACTCTCGATTTGATTCAGATTCCTATGAAGGGTTTGGATGTGATCATCAGCATAGATTGGTTGATGGCAAATAATGCCACCTTAGACTGTGCTAAGAAGACAATTGTGTTACCGATACATACTACACTAGCTAATATTCCTAGTGAGTTTAAGTTCTTATCAGTGGTACAAGCAGAGAAACTAATGCAACAAGGGTGTATGGCTTATATGGTTTTCTTCTCAGTGCATGGGGTCTACGATGGAAGTATTGATAAGATTAGGGTAGTGAATGAATTCCTTAAGGTATTTACAGATGATATGTCCAGTTTGCCTCTAAAAAAGGAAGTGGAATTCATAATAAACTTAGTACCAAGAACTGAACCAATCTCAAAGGCACCATATCGGATGTCACCAACTGAGTTAGCTAAGTTGAGGAAGCAGATAGAAGAGTTACTTGAAACAGGGTTTATTAGACCCAGTGTGTCACCTTGGGAATCACCTATGCTGTTTGTTAAGAAGAAGGACGGTAGCTTATGGCTTTATATTGATTATAAACAATTGAATAGAGTGATGGTGAAGAACAAATATCCTTTACCAAGGATTAATGATTTATTAGATCAATTAGTGGGAGCTTCAGTTTTCTCAAAGATCGACTTGAGATCAAGATACCATCAATTGAGAATGTGCTTGGAGGATGTACCTAAGATGGCTTTCTGTACCAGATATAAGCATTATGAGTTCCTGGTAATGCCATTAAGGTTAACAAATGTGCCTGTGATTTTTATGGATTATATGAACAGTATATTCAGGCCTTACCTGGATCAGTTTATCGTGGTATTCATTGATGACATTCTGATATATTCTAAAGATGAGAAGCAGCATGCGAAGCATTTGAGGATTGTGCTACAAATCTTAAAGGACAAGCTCTATGCAAAGCTTAGCAAGTGTGAGTTTTGGCTGAGAGAGGTCTGATTTTTAGGATATATTGTGTCGGCGGAAAGGATTGTAGTGGATCCACATAAAGTGGATGCAGTATTAAAATGGGAAAGACCTAGTTCTATGATTGAAATACAAAGTTTTCTGGGGTTGGCTAGATATTATCGTAAATTTATCCATGGTTTCTCTCAAATAGCTTCGTCATTGACTAGGTTGACTCGAAAAGATCAACTATTTATTTGGAATGATAAATATGAGACTGCATTTCAGAAGCTAAAGGAAAAGCTGATTATGGCACCAGTATTGATTATTCCTAATCTATGATTGCCATATGAAATGTATATGGCTGCATCTTTGAAGGGTCTAGGATGTGTATTAATGCAAGATGAGTGAGTAGTGGCTTATGCCTTTAGACAACTCAAGCCGCATGAAGAGAATTACCTAACCCATGACTTAGAGCTTGCTGTAGTGGTATTTACATTAAAGATTTAGAGGCACTATTTGTATGGGGTAATGTTCAACGTTTTTAGCGACCACAAGAGCATAAAATATTTAGTGGATCAAAAAGAACTTAATATGAGGCAGAGAAGGTAGATGGAGTTCCTAAAGGATTATATTTTTGAGTTTAAATACCACTTAGGGAAAGCAAATGTGGTTATAGATGCCTTAAGTCAAAAGTCATTGCATATCGCTTATCTAATGGTGTAGGAGCACAAATTGCTGGAAGCTTACTTGGATATTAAGCATGACTCACTGGAATTAACTTTGTATAGTTTATATTGTTGGATAGGGAGGCGCAGTGAAAGATTAAAATTTCAAAGTCCCTATCCTGATATGGACCAAACGAACTCGTTTAAGTCAAGGCTGATAGAAGAGTTATCTTTTAATTCTTTGAAGTTGGCGCACATTTGGATCTCAAGAGCCGACAATGTAAATCTGCTCCCTTTACCGGTATCCACACGAACAGCTCTCTAACTCAAACAGTGTGCTAGTGTTCTCAGCGTCCGTTCTTCTTTGAACGTCAATTTTCTTTTTTATAGGGTGTTTCGTGGCTCTCAGAGTATTTTGCCATCAGAACTTTTCTAACTCTCTCTGCCTTCATAAGGACGTCCTTATCTATATATAGTATATAGATAAGGGTTGCGTCTTCCACTTAAAAGCTCACGAAAATTTAATTAAATTTATCTCATAAATTTAATCCATAATATCATATCTAATTCAAATTTATCTTATAAATTCAAATTATAAAACTAACATGATATTCTCTCTTATCATATTAGTTATTTAATTTAATCTATCATATAAAATTAAATTTAAAACTAACATAATATAATCAAAGTCATACTAGTCTTGTTTCATCTATGATCCCTCAAAAATGACCGACCAGGCACATTTAGGACAATCTCTATAGTTTGTCTAAGGATACAGTTATCATATTGAACATGCAATTATTATGATAACAAAAGAGAAGTTCATTAAATAACAATATGCATAGTATAATAATTGGTCCTAGGGCACAATTTCAAACATCCTCCCACTTGCACTAGGTAAAATCATTAATTTGTCTAATTCCTATTGTCCTGACATGACGCTTATGCTTCGCCTATGCAGGAGGCTTTGTAAGAGGATTAGCAACACTGTCTTCTCCTGCTACTTTGCATATTTTTATATCACCTCTATCATTGATCTCTCTAATAAGGTGGAAACGCCTGAGTATATGCTTGGTCTTTTGGTGTGACCTTGGCTCCTTGCTTTGTACAATTGCACCGCTATTGTCATAGAACAAGTTTATTGGATCTAAGATGCTAGGCACCACTCCTAGTTCAGTAATAAACTTCTTAATCCAAATGGCTTCCTTAGCTGTATCTGATGTTGCTATATACTCAGCTTCTGTTGTAGAATCAGCTATTGTGCTCTGCTTTGAGCTCTTCCAACTCACTGCCCCACCATTTAAGGTGAACACATATCCTGATTGCAATTTAAGGTCATCCTAGTCAATTTGGAAGCTTGCATCTGTGTAACCTATTATAACTGGCTCATCATCCAATCCGCTATATACCAAGAATAAATTCTTAGTCCTTCTTAAGTGCTTTAGGATATTCTTTGAATTCTACATACTGAACCTATGCAGTATCTTGTCTATGTATATGCTCTAACTTAGGCCTATCAGCTTTTTGGATCTATCTCTATAGATCTTAATCCAAAGGATGTAAGTGGCTTCACCTAAGTCCTTCATAGAGAAAGATTTTCCTAACTAAGATTAACATTTTGCAAGGTAGAAATGTTATTCCCAATGAGTAGGATATCATCTACATATAGCACTAGAAATATAACTGTGCTGTCATTAACCCTTTTATAAACACAAGGTTCATCAATATTTTGAATGAATCTAAACTCTTTGATTACTTCATCAAAACATTGATTCTAGCTTCAAGATGCTTGCTTTAATCCACAAACGAATCTTTAAAGCTTGCACACTTTTCTAGAGTCCTTTAGACACATAAAACCTTCAAGTTGTGTCATGTACACTTCCTCAAGTAGATGTCCATTAAGGAATGATGTTTTAACATCCATCTGCCATATTTCATAGTCATAATATGCTACAATGGCAAGGAGGATTCTAATTGATTTGGCTATTTCGACCGATGAAAAGTTTTCATCATAGTCTACACCATGAGTTTGGGTGAATCCTTTTACAACCAATCGTGCCTTGAAGACATTTACTTTGCCATCCATGTCAGTTTTCTCCTTAAAAACTTACTTGCATCCGATAATTTTTATTCCTTCAAGTAGATCGATTAAGGTCTATACCTTATTGTGATACATGGATTGCATTTCAGACTTCATGACATTTAGCCATTTCTCGAAATTTGATCCCAATATGGCTTCTTGATAGGTGGTTGGTTCATTGTGTTTAATGAGCAACACATCATGACATTCATTAATTAGAAATCCATATCTTAGAGGATGATGCTGTGTTCTATCAGACCTTCGTGGGCCTTATGTTATTTGAATAGGCTTATTTACTTCTTGTGAGTTTTCTCAATTTTCTATCTATAACTCTGTGCTATTTTGTGGTTCTTGAATTTCTTCAAGATATATCTTGCTCCCACTGGTTCTTTTAGAGATAAATTCTCTTTCTAGAAAGATACCATTTCAAATTACAAACACTTTGTTATTGGTGAGATTGTAGATATAGTATCCCTTTATTTCTTTAGGATACCCCACAAAAAGGAACTTTGTGAATTTGGGTGCTAACTTGTCTGAGACTTATTTCTTAACATAAACCTCACTTTCCCAAATCTTGAGAAAAGACAAACTAGGTTTCTTCCCAGTCCATATCTCATATGATGTCTTCTTAATTACCTTAGATGGAACACGATTCAGTGTGAACGTAGCTGTTTCTAGTGCATGGCCCCAAAAGGATGGTGGAAGATCTACTTGACTCATCATGGATCGAACCATATCTAATAGTGTCTGAGTTCTCTACTTAGAAACACCATTCCATTGTAGTGTTGCTGGAGGAGTTAATTGTGAGACTATCCCACAACTCTTGAGATAATCAATGAATTCTTGGCTCAAATATTCACCTCCTTGATCAGATCAAAGAGTTTTAATAGTCTTGCCAAGTTGGTTTTATACTTCATTTTAGAATACTTTCAACATTTCAAAAGATTCAAATTTATGTTTCATTAGGTAGATGTATCTATATCTACTGTAGTCATCAATAAAGGTAATGAAGTATAGATAACCCCCTCTGGCAGTTGTACTCATTGGTCCACATACATCTGTATGTATGAGTACCAGTAAGTCATTAGACCTTTCACTATGCCTAGTAAAAGGTGCTTTTGTCATCTTTCTTAATAAACAATATTCACAAGTGTCATAAGATTCAAAATCAAATAAGTTGAGAAGTCCATCTTAATGGAGCTTAGAAATATGTTTCTCATTTATATAGCCAAGACGATAATGCCATAAGTAGGTTGGATTCAAATCATTTGATTTGATCCTTTTGGTAGTTACGTTATAGATGTCTTCATTACTAGGATGTTCTAGATTTAAAAGATAATGACCAAAATATAAATCACCATTAACATACAAAATGTCATTTCGATAAATAGAACATTTACCATTCCCAGTAATGAAAGTAAAACCTTCCTTATCCAAATAAGAAAGAGAAACAATGTTGCTACTCAAAGTAGTAACATAATAGCAATTGTTTAAAACTAACAAAAGCCCACTGGGCAAAAGTAATTCATAAGTGCCTACGGCTAAAGCAACAACTCTTGCTCTATTTCCAACTCGTAGGTCCACTTCGCCTTTCATCAACTTTCTACTGTTTCTGAGACCCTATACATTTGTACAAATGTGAGAACCATATGCAGTACCTAATACCTATACAGAAGAACTAGAAAGGTGAATGTCTATAACATAAATACCTAAAGGAGTAGCCCAGGTATCCTTTTTCTTTTTTAAATCTTCTAGGTAGAGCTTGTAGTTCCTCTTCCAATAACCTAGTTCATTACAAAAGAAGCAAACTCCTTTCTTTGGAGGCTTTGCCTTCTTGGCTGGAGGCTTGGTTTCAGGCTTGTTTGACTCTTTGATGTTACCATCTGAGCCTTTACCCTTTCCCTTGCCCTTGCCTTTGCCTTTCTTTTTCATACCCTTTCCTTTCTAAACCATCAAAATAGTGCTAGGCTTTTTCTTAATATTTTGCTCAATAGTTTTAAGCATCCCATGCAGTTCAGAAACAGATTTCTCCATGTCATTCATGTTATAGTTTATAAAAAACTGGTCATAACTTTCCAGGAGTGAGTTCAAGATCAAATCTGTAGCCAACTCCTGGCTTAAGGGAAATCCGAGCCTCTTAAGGTGATCAATATAGCTCTTCATCTTTAAAACATGAGTGCTAACTGATGTACCCTCAACCATCTTGCAGGAGTATAAGGCTTTTGTGGTCTCATACCTCTCTTACCTTGCCTGTTGTTGGAACATTTTCTTAATATGTACAATCATCTCATAATCCTTCATGTGTTCCAAATCTCTTTGAAGTTCTAGAACCATGGTAGCTAGCATTAGGCATCCTACATCTACCGAGTCATTGGTGTGCTTTGTGTAAGCATCCCTTTCAGCTCTTGGAGCATTAGCTGCAGGCTCCTCAGGAATGGGTTCATCCAGGATATAAGCCTTTCATTCCTACTTGAGAATAATTCTCAAGTTCTTGAACCAGTTAAGAAATTTCATCCCATTGAGTTTGTCCTGCTCAAGGACTGATCACAAAGATAGTATAGCAGTGTCACTAGTCGACACGATTCTACAATAAAATACACAAAGTTAATTTTGTCTCCCACTAAAACTAACAACCCTCAAATTTGATTAGTGGGCTAAGACCCATATTTCACTTAAATTTAAGTCCACTTTGGTAGGACGCTTAAAATTAAGTTATTTAGGTAGGTAACTCATTTACCAATTACATTGTATGTAACTCTTAGATCTTTATAGGATTCAATCATCGTATGATCCGACATGTTTAATCCTATCTAATGCCTTGAGATCCAAAACCATTTTGATAATCTCAATTAAGTCAAACAATAATGAATCTTTGTGAGTAGCACCATTACTCACGCTTGTCTCACCAAGATAACCCAAATGTATCCACTTTAATGGATCCTATATTTGAGTGATCTAAATTTTGACAAGTATTCATTAATTGACAGCATTATGATTTAAGATTTTAATTAGAGGGTTTGATTTATTAATTTAATAAATGTGTAAAGTGAAAGCAGTTCTATCTCATACAAAATCATGCATATTATGATCTAATTAAAAGCATAATTAAATGTGACATAATATGGCTCACCTAACTAATGTCTATCCCAAGCCAATGAGAGGACCTCTTTAAGAAGATAAATTACATCAAGAAACCTCATTTATTCATATGAGGGGATTGAGATGAGAAGAGAATGTACATTCAGAGTTTATAAAGAGAGACACGACACGCAGGCCATATTTAAAATTTACAACTCTTGTAAAACTAGAGCCATATGTGTCACCATACCTAAACAACTTCAAGGCAAAGAAAACACAACAAATAAACAATTCATATATAATGAAAGGCTATAAATTGTGAATTAGGTTGTGCTACGCAGAGTTAGCTGCGGAGGTCCCACTAATGAACAATAATAACATTGAGAACGCACATCATATGGACAAACATTAGTCATATTAAAAACGCACATCACATAGCTAAATATTAATCATATTAATTTATTTAAATTCATATAAATTTGAATATATATAAAATGAGTTTATATATATGTTTCAAAAAAATCATATGAAAAATATATATAGATTTTGAAAATATCACATATAAATTTCAAAAATCTCAAAGCAACGTTCATCTAAAGAAGTTTATCACATGAAGATTTAAGAACGTGATCAACCAAAATCCAACTTAAACAAAAATTTGACCTGGCTTTGGTACTATTGTTAGATAGGGAGGTGCAGCGGAAGATTAAAATTTTAAAGTCCCTATCCTAATATGGATCGAACAAACTCATTTAAGTCAAGGTGGATAGAAGAGTTACCTTTTAATTCTTTGAAGTTGGCACATGTATAGATCTCAGGAGCTGACAATGTAGATATGCTCTCTCTAACGGTATCCACATGAACAGCTCTCTAACTCAAACAACGTGCTAGCGCTCTTAGCGTTCTTTTTTGAATGTCAATTTTCTTTTTTATAGGGTGTTTCGTGGCTCTCAGAGTGTTTTGCCGTCAGAACTTTTCTAACTCTCTCTGCCTTCATAAGGACGTCCTTATCTATATATAGTATATAGATAGGGGTTTTCGTCTTCCACTTAAAAGCTCACGAAAATTTAATTAAATTTATCTCATAAATTTAATCCATAATATCATATCTAATTCAAATTTATCTTATA